TTGTAATTCTGGAATTTTATAATTACAGCTTCATGAGCATTTGCAAGGCATTGGGCATGGCATGTAATCATTTGGTATTTAAAGATAAGTGAGAACATGTTCTGCTGTTTTGATAAACAATGAATTTAGATTTTTATTTTGTCACATTTTTGTGTTTCTTTAGGTGTCACTGTCAGCTGTAGGTGCTGTAAAGCAATACTAAGATTTGATAGATTTTTTTTCCATTGTCTTAAAAACCTAGCTCAGGGAGATGAATTGATATAGGTAGATGTTTCAAAGAACTTGTCTTAAATATGATCATTAAGCGTCCAATTGCTTTGTCAGCAATTTCAATATTTCCAGAGTTACTAATTTCTTCTCCCCCTTCTTTTTATTTCCTTGCACTAGTTCCAAATATTAGATTGAAGAGGTCATTTCAAGAACTATTGCTCTTAAGAGTTCTGTAATGGGGAAGGGAGGAGGAAACAAAGACTTTCATCTGTCAGTTGGGAGGGAGAGAAAGAGCATAAAGGGTTAAAAAGAGGTTTTTATTTCTACCACATGCCCTATTGTGTGAACATATGCATAAGTCTATTGAAAGTTTTCAGAAGATGGGCAGGCCACCAGTTGCTGGTCTCCTGCAGTTCCAGTAGACATCTGTTGCCCTGGAGCATTAACCAATCTGTTCAAAGGGACATCCTTCCTTTGTTAGAGGGAGCCAGGCAGACAACAGCACTCACTGAAATACAGTGGTAATTAAATACACAGAGACTACAGCAGTAGGTAGTTATTACATATTCATTATTTTATTTCCATTGTTCTCTTAGTATTACCATTTGGATAACAACCAGAACCCACTTTATAGCATTGTAACTTTACATTACAAACAAATAGATTTAACAAGTTTATGGTGTAATATTCCTGATTAACATGAGGCTCTTTAGAACATTTTTTAAAAATTATACTTGATTTGAGAAGGATTATTCAAGTATTCTAATGAGAACTTTCAGAAAATCTCACCAAATGGAGAATTTGTGTGTATGCAACAAATTTCTAATTAAATAGCCATTATATCATTAACCTGCTAAGATAAAGTTTCTTTTCGGCCATTAAAATAATTAGTTATACTTTATTATCATCTACAAAAGTATGAAAATTTACCTCTTTTTCAACAAATATTATTTGATTTTTAACTCACTAGGCCTTTAGCAAGAAAAATTGTTTTCATATTCAGTACACTATCTGGAGAGAATCTGTAGCTTTATAAGTTTAAAATCTGTTTTCAGACCATTATTTTTGCCCAATATCTTTTGTGTTCATGAATATAGTATGTAAAGATCAGTTATAATAGATTCCTGATATTAAGTTTAAAAGTTAAGTCATATTTCTTGGAGGGGTTTGTTGGTTTTTGGGGGTTTTTTTGGTAACTCTTAAAGTATAAACTGACCTAGTTTGTGTGTGAAACTTGGTCTATGCTGCTTCTTCATGAAATCAGGAAAATTACCCTTACAAACTAATAGTTTATTAATTTAAAGATGATTTATATACGCTTCCATTAGAGCAAATATAAAATTTAAAGTCTAATAAATGGTTTAGAAATTAAAGAGAAAAATATTTTCTATCTTACATGTAATAAATTTTGTGATGTTATTACTGTCTTTGCTATCTTCTCTTTTTCAAAATTATATTGATCATTTAAGGCATTGAACAAAAAGATCATATACCATTCTTTATCCTAAGATTTCTTATAATTACTTCTAAGTTTTACACATTACATTACATTGACAAATACTGCAGCATATAAAAATATTTTTATCAGTTTTTAAATCTTAGCAGTTATTTTTTTATTGAATGATTTCAAGATATTGCCAGATTCTAAGTTCCATGTTAAGTTAGGGCAATACTTTACTAATTAGAAGTGGGTAAGGAAGCATTTTAGAGGTTAAGTTTAAATAGAAAACAAATCTTTACCACTTAGATCAATGCAAATCAGGTTATTTCAAATTTATATTAGGTAGTGGAGAAAACATATGCAGTTTATAGGCCTGATATTTGAACTCAATTGACCTTATTTATACTATTTCATACTTAGTTGATATATAGGGCCTAAAAATTATTTAACTGCTTGTTTTGGAAAAGATGACATTGAATAATTTTCTCTGATATAACCAATGAAATCTGGAAGATGGAGAGAGGCCTATCAATGCAGAGGAAAAAAAAGTTAGAATCTTTTAAAAGAAAAATTATTTCACAACAAAATTAGATATTAACTTTTTTAAAGTAGGTTAGATCAAACTTACATTTATCCTTAGTATTAAAAATCATATTAGCCCAATTTCAGATGTTTTGTTTAAATAATATATATAAATTACATGAATTATCTCAGGATAAATGTGTGTGGTAGTCACTAAATACATTTGTGTACAAATGAGTTTTACCTGGTTTAATATAAAAGTAAACAACTGATATCCCATTTTTTCTCTGTTGTATCATAGCCATACAATAAAATTATATAGCAGATTTACATAATGTCATCAACACTTTTTTTATATTAGATTGAAGGTGATATAGAAAGATTTAAACACTTTTTAGGGTAGCTAATTTTCATATTAAAAACCTCACGGTATCTGGTTTTGTGCCTTTGAAACATATAAAAATTGAGAATATATCAGTTTTCGCTGTAAACATAACATTGCATTTCGATTTCCCCCACTGGCTGTATTTCTCATAAAATACCTTGTTTGAAACAGTCTGTAAGAAAAACACTACAGCTCAAAATTAAAATAATACTTCCTAGTTTAATTTAGAGATTTGGTCAGTGAATTATTATCTTGAAGAATTATCTCACAACAACACTTATGCAAAACCCAAACTTTTCAGGAGAGATCGAAAATATTGCCCATTAAATATACTTCCTGCAGTCAGAGCAGATTGTGGGGTTTACAGAACAATGATGTCGGAGCCTCCAGATTGGTTTGGCAGCTGCATTGTTCTCCGAGGGTAAACCAGACGCACTTAAGTCCCAGTCTCTTTTATAAGCTTTTGTTCATACCAAATTATTCTTTCACTGTGCTAGCATTCATGATGGCATGTTAAAAGAGCGCAGCTTAGCAACCACCTTCTGGTTGCCAGGCAGCCCAGCTTCCAATAGGTTTTCCTTGTATAAGATACTTTTGGTGGGAGCTCAACGAAGGCCACAGTACAGATTTTTCTTTTAACTGTATCCCTTTATTAGGATGTTGTTGTGATTTGTTACTTGCATTATGGTGTCAGTATATTACAGTAGTTAATAAATCAGTGAGTGTAAAGATTTGCTTTCAATAATCCCATCCTTTAATTCTAAATAATTTGGCTCATGCATATCCATATTAATAGAAAAAAATTAAAATGGATACAGCTTCATAATGGAGCAGATATATATGGAGCTCTCCTAAGGAATATTTCTTTTTTATCAGTTGTGCAATCGGAAGCCAGAGGAGTTTGATGTTTCTTTAAACTAATGAATATCTCATTAGTAGAACAGTGATATTAAAGTTATCTGTCTTCTCCAAAGATAAAATCTGTAGGAATTTCTGTAGCAGTGTGTAGGAGTTCTACACTGAAGGAATTTTAAGTGTATTGTATCAAGCTAAAGATTTCCATGTTTTCTTCCCTAGTATTTACCATAATATAATTTATTTCATTATTTAGAAATATTTAACTTTCTAGTATGCATTCAAATGACTTAAAAAATCACTTAGCATTTTCTTTTAACATTTGTATAATAGCTCCTTTCTAGTGTAAATAAGATGTTGAAGAGCTTTAGAATGAAATATTTTTCCAATTTTTTTAGGTTACTTAAATGAGTATTTTATGAGTTTCAAACTCATTTACCACCAGCTTAGTGTTATCCATGGATATAACACCAGAATTACCTTAATAAGTAAGCTACTGAGATAAATATAATCCTTACAGTGAAGCATGAGAGAAAATAATTTTATTTTGCTAACTTTTTCCTAGTAGAGAAGTAACAATTGTTCCCAGTGGACTGTAAGGAAAATAGTAAAACAGCAAAAGCATTTTAAACAGTAAAAGCATTTGTGTAGGGGAAAGTAGGAGAAAAAGATGACTTTTTAATCAAATGCAGATAATGGTTAATTATCTGATGCTATATAGAAATATTTTCTGCCATAAAATTCAAGAAATTAAGATAACATTATTTAGTGTACCCACTTGCTGCTAATTTTATGTGAAATATTTTATTTCTATGCTTTCTATAAATGTGCATAGAATAAAAGAGCGTTTCCTCACTCCCTGGAATGAAATAGGCTGCAGTGTCCCTGGTGCTTAAAGAGTAGTATAACGTTAAGATATTTACAAAATAAAGATTATTAGGGCAAAAGTACTCATCTCTTAAATGGAAAATAATTGACTCTGTAGCTATGTAATTCCTTGTGGGTTATTAAATATGTGCTCTTTCAACTCAGTACTGGAATTATTTTTGAAAAAATGTCTTTCGGTTGTTAAAATTATTAATTTTATAATTAATGATACTTTTACAATGTAATAAGTTAATGTTTTCTTTCCACTGGGCTTTCTCTTTAAAAGAATTTTTACAAGTTTTTAATGAATTATTTTAGAAAAAAATACATACACTATCATAGCATATCTAAGAATACTTTTTGATAGTATCCTTTATGTCACTCCAGAAACGTAGGTAGGCCTTTCTAACAGTGGAAAAACCTCTTCCATCAAGGCTGAGAAGCAACATGATCTAGTGGAAAGAAAAGGGATTTTGAAGTCAGACAAAAATTGGTTAAAAAAATTCAGTTCCATTACTTATTTAATTCATTGTTTTTCTAATTTCTAACATCATTTGCAAAACAGCGTGTGATACTGTCTTGGCAAAGGTGTTGAAGGTAGAGAGAGTGTAGACATACATGAAGTGGGTATTTATAGTTTGGTAATTCTCTTCCAACTTGTATATTGAGACAAATGAAATAGTAAATATGAAATTCTAAATATTTTACATTTTTCTCTAGGAATACGGGGTGCTTTGCATTCAGGAATACAGAAAAAACAGCAAAGTGGAGTCAAGTACACATAACAGCTTCATGGGCTTGAAGGATCATCTGGGGCACGACCTAGGCCACCTTCATGTGGAGAGCACTGACCCGCATTCAAGTATCTCTGTACCTTGGTCAATGGTAGAAAAACCAACAATGGATAGAGTTAATTCTGGGAAGGAAGAAAAAGAGGTGTCCGAAGAGAATGTGAGCTCTGGTGACTCAGAAGAAAGCACAAATTCTGATAATGAGTCAGAGCAATTGAGTAGCATTTCAGTAGAGCCATGTTTATTAACCAAGACTCACAGACAGCTATGTAGGTCTCCCTGCTTAGAGCCTCCTCACATACTTAAACGCAGTGAAATTTTACAAGACTTTAAACCCGAAGAGGCCCAGACTACATCCAGGGAAGTGAAGAAACCTCCTGATGTGGTGCGAGAATACCAAACAAAACTGGAGTTTGCACTTAAGTTAGGTTATTCTGAAGAACAAGTTCAGCTTGTGCTAAACAAACTTGGTACCAATGCTTTAATCAATGATATTTTGGGAGAACTTGTCAAACTTGGAAATAAAAGTGAGGCCGAGCAAACAGTTAGTACAATTAACAATATAATGCGGGAAACATCCTCCCTGGAATCTCAACGGTCTGATTCTCCAATGCAAGAGATTGTAACAGATGACGGAGAAAATCTCAGACCAATAGTCATCGATGGCAGCAATGTGGCAATGAGGTAAGTGGGAAAATCTTCATTGTAACTGTTTCTCTTTTAACAGTCGTTAAAGTCAAGATTATTCTCCATCCTAACGTTAGCTGTATATTTCTAATTGTATCTCATAGTTTTCTCTACTTCCAGAGTGGTCACAGACATTTCTTTTCACCCTGTTTGTCCCTAAATAGAGAGCCCCTTTCCCCAGATGTCCCTTTTTTTTTTCCTCTCCTGGCTCCATTACTATGCTACAAAAATTAGCACTCGTTCCTTGTTTAGTGTTAACCACTAGTTTTAAGTGATGAACTTGAGTACCATAATATTCAACAATTTTGGAATCTAGTTAGATAAATAGACAATTTCTACACAAAGTCAAATAACCAGAGGGAAAATAAACTATTTTTATGATTTGGAAACAAATCAAAGCTATTGTTTCAAATGTTTTCTTTAAGAGATGTAATTCAAAAATAATTCTTTAGGAACTAAGCAGGGGAGAACAAATGCAGAACTTTTAATGAAAAATGTCTTACAAATTTTGATGGCATAAAATTTAAAGTACATCTAAATTCAGTTAATACTATGTAAAACTTCCCACAATGTTCAGCATCAGGTCTTTATTTTTTTTTTAAGATTTTATTTATTTATTTTGAGAGGGGAAGGGAGGAAGAAAGAGAGGGAGAGAAACATCAATGCATGGTTGCCTCTCAGGCACCCCCTACTGGGGAAGTGGCCTGCAACCCAGATATGTGCCCTGACTGGGAATCGAACTGGTGACCCCTTGCTTTGCAGGCCAGCACTCAATCCACTGAGCCACACCAGCTGAGGCAAGGCATCAGTTCTTTTATAGAGTTAGCATTTTATATATTATTTCTCAAAGGGTAATCTGAGGGTACCTACCACAGAATCATTGGGAGAACTTGTTAAAAATGCATATTCTATAATAATGCTGTTCAGTGGAAATATAATGTGTGGCACATATGTCATTTTAAATTTTCTAGTACCTACATTAAAAAATTAAACAGGTACAATTAATGTGAATAACCTATTTTGTTTAGTCTAATATAGCCAAAATATTACAACATGTAATCAAGTAAAAATTAATGAGATATTTTGCATATTCCTTTCATATGTGTTAAAATCTACCATCTTACACTCACAACACAGCTCACTAGTGGCTCCAGTGTAGTTCTGGAGACCTACCAAGTCCACACGCAGGCCTGTCAAGTCCAATCAAGGTATAGCCCAGGCATTTCCTTCTGTAAAAAGAACCAGGCTAATAATGATGCCTACTGAAATTTGAGAACCATTCTTTTAGTAGGCGATAACAAGTACTTCTCCATAGAGTATGAGAAGGACCAACTTGTAGTCCTTCGAATAATCTTTTTAGGTGGAAGCTGTATTATCTTACTTATTATCTTACTTGCCTTTATAAGCAAATGAGACTTGTAAGATTTAAATTCCTTGGCCAACTTAGAATATAGCTTCAGCCCAAATATGTCTAACTTCAAAGTCTATACATTTTTATCATATAATGAAGGATAAAAGCAAGTTGTAAAGGTTCAAGGCAGATCTCACAAGGCCTTGAATGTCAGGCTAGGAAATTTAAGGTTGGCTCTAATCCAAAAGTAATTGAAAATTTTTGAGGAGGGGAATGCCAAGAGTAGAGGTATTCTTATACTGATATTTGGCATGAATGTTTAGAGTAGATTATAAGAGGTAGGAGGATACAGATGACCCTTTTATAAAGGGGCTTTAAATGTTACAGAGGTTTGAAGAGGTTTATGACTTTGAGAGGTCTCTTGGTAAAATAACTTCTCTGTTTAATCTTTCCTAAACTTGGCCACGTAATGATTTTTTTTTTCTTATATTAATCCAGAACTAGTGAGCAATTACATTAGTGGTGTGATAATATGTGGGGTCAAAATGCCATGAATTTGCCAAGGGAGAGAGTAATGAGGGAAGATGTAAGAGTTCCGAGAGGAACACCTGCAGCATGGCCCTGCACGACAGTCACCGGACAGGGTCTTACAAATGCGTCTGCCAGAGCTCTGCTCTCGGAGAACCTGATTCAGTGGAGCTCTTGTAGAACCCAAATAACTATATCTTTTTAAGGGCCAAGGTATTTTTGATGCATAGCTTATGTTGAGAACAACTCAAGATGAAAAATGTGCATATCTACAAGTCAGGAGGTAAAAGAAGGTGAAGATCCAGGAAAAAAGCAGTGTAAAAAACGTGTTAGGAAAAAGCATAGTGTTAGAAAAAACCAAGAGACATACAAATATCATCAAACTCAAGGAAGAGGAGACTTTAAGGAGAGAATGTCCTGTGGGGTGTACTGGAAAAAGATCAGAGGACATGATAGCCAGGAAGTCATTATCTTTAATACCATGTGGCATTCTTGAAGACAGTGCCATATGGTGTTAAAGATGGAAGCCCAGTTGCAGGATATCAAGAAATGAAGGAATAGAGCAACACTTTTATTCTAGAAAGTTGACAGAGGAAGGGGAGGGAGAAGAGTGGGGAAAGGATTTTGCTGTGTTGTGTTTTTAAGAATAAAACTGTATCAGCTGAGGGGACAGGGAAGTGTCTCCACAGGAGAAGAGCTGACCATGCGTTTAATTTTTGAAGCAAAGTTCTGAAGGAGGAGACAAGAAAGGCACAGTGTTGGAGGTAAATGCAGGCATTGGAGGGGAAAGGTAGCTTTAGATTTACAAAACTTGTATCCCTTCTATGGATTTCTGAGATGGATATAATTTAGATAAATTAGGTCACAGTTGGGTCATCCTGACATCAGCTCATGTGACTGAAACCTAGTTCTTCATGGAAATGAAAAGTACTTGGATAACTGAAAATTTACCAAAAACTCTAAAGGTTGCTCATCCACCACAGGGAGAATTATCCACAGAAAAACTTTAATAATAAAAAAAGATAGTGTAATTAAGGCATTTCAAGTCTATTCTTATATAATTATGAAAACAAACTTCTATCCCCACACTGTTCTGGCACCACCCTGTTTCCTTTGCTATAAAGATGAGACACTGCCAAGTCAGTACTTCTCTCCTTCATATATTATATTCTGACACGTAGTGAAGTGCTTCAGGCATTTCAGGACGGAGCAAGTTGACAGGAAATTTTTATTAAAGCAGCATTATACTGTCAGTCACAATAAAATGTACCATATCCATAACTTTAGAGTACCACAACTCATAAAAAGTCATAGTAAACTTTTTGTATTCTGCCATTTATTAGACCTACATAAAGCAGTCAAGCCATGGAAAAATGCATATCTACTTTAGGACCAAAATCTTAACAAAAATGCAGAGGGATTTCACCCATTTCATGTCACATTAAATATGGCGTGCTTTTACTTTTGAAGTTAATTTCTTATTCATAAGTTCAGCAAACCTATTATAAATGTATACATATAGTAATAAAGTATAGTAATATGTAAATGTGGGGATGGAATAAGAATATAGTACTATTTTATTTTCTGATGTCTCAAACAGATATATCCCCTATATGATGAATATGTTTAATCTCATTTAAATGCTAGCCATGGGACTGATGTGAATGATTCTTTAGATGTAAATTAAAAGTAGGAAAGCAAAGGCATTTTTATTAAAATTAGCAAAATAGACTTTAAAAATATTTAATTCTGTACAGACTACCGTTGTGATTTTGAGTAAGTTGTTTAAACTCTCCAGCCTCAGTTTTCAAAATTGTAAAAAGGGGGAATTCTTATCTTGCAGGCTTGTTATTAGAATTAGAGATAATTAATACCAGGTGCCTGGCATATAATACATGCTGAGTATATTATATTAAAGAGCCAGAATATAGTAACTAATGTAATGAAAACTTAGTTACCCCTGTTTTTCATTCAGTATTTAACAAATATAGCAATTTAGCAGTCTATTTTATTATGACTTGTAGGTGTATTTTAATTTTTACTTCCAATTTATGACATCAGTGTTTTTCAGTGATGATTCCTACAGTTTCATGAAGAGGACTCGGGCTTATAGATCTGGGCAACTCCAGAATTGCCCAGAGACAAACCACAGAGCCAGAGTATATAGTATAGGGTCCCAAAATTGAACGGATCCTGTGTTACCTTGGAGGAGCATGCTTCTACTTTTGGTTTATTTAATATCCTTTTTAAAATGTGCTACCTTGGTAGAAGCTCTGGGTAAATTTGTTGAATGAGCAATTCACCAAAAATTGAGGCAGATACCTAGAACTTAGTCTAACATAATTTATGATAGGTATGTCACTGCCAGATATAGGAGCAAAGAGGGCATAAGTATGCAAAAATAGAAATTAAAGTAAGTTTAGAGAAAACCCTAAACTTTTGCATATAAATGTTAAGCATTCAGCCCTGGCTGGTGTGGTTCAGTGGACTGAGTGCCTGCCTGCAAATCAAAGGGACACTGGTTCAATTCCCAGTCACGACACATGCCTGGGTTGCAGGCCAGGTCCCCAGTAGGGGGCGCACAAGAGGCAACCACACATTGATGTTTCCCTCTGTTTCTCCATCCCTTCCCCCTCTAAACATAAATAAATAAAATCCTTTTAAAAAATGTTAAGCATTCAAAAAGTGCTTGGTTTCTGAAACATGAAAAGAATGAAATTTACAGTTAGTAGAGCTGGACTTAAAATTCCTGATTAAAAGCTGCGGTAAATTTTAATTCTTAAAAAAAAAAAGGAAAAAGAAAAAACTCTCGGTAATTTAGCAAATTGGTCATTCAGCAAATAGGCCTCTTTTAGGGCAGATACTTGATAATGTAGATGTGCCATGAAATGTGTATTCCAGATATGGACACAGAAATAAAGCATAATACTTAATATATTTCTGAAATGAGATTCTTAATAATACTGTGATTTTTATTTCTTCCAAGTAGTTCACAAGCCTTCAAAATCTGATTCAAGCCTCAAGTTGATTCCATTCAACTTGATGTAGTTCAGCAGTGGAATATAGGACAGTATAGAATTAGTCTCTGTTCGCATGTATCCAATAGTTTGAATTCATT